AAAAAAAAAAAAAAAAAAAAGGGGAGGGGTTGGGGGGTGGGGTGTTGGCAGGCACTCCCCTGCTTTGCAATTCGTAGTTCATGCAGCAGACTACTTGTCTTGCAGCAAATCAACAAGCACATTCAACAAGCAGACATGCAGAGTTGCGAACAGTGCAAAGCAGGCACAAGACAATGGAAACAGAGAAAAAAAAAAAAAAAAACTTCTAAAAAGTTTAGTTAACTTTAAAGCCTTCAGACTGGCAGCACTGCAGTGCTCTCTCTCTCTCTCTCTCTCTCTCTCTCTCTCTCTCTCTCTCTCTCTCTCTCTCTCTCTCTCGCTCTCGTCAGTGGGATGTCTTGTGCAGTTTAGACAGGGGTTCTCATTCGGAGTCGCCCTCTTCCTCCGACGAACTGCCATCTTTCTCGTCGCCTTCGCTTTTATCCTCCTTGTCACTGCCATCAGCCCCATCGCTGCTCTCATTCTTGTCGTGACCGTCGCCTCTGCCATCACTTTCGTTGCTGCTGCCATCATTTTCATCACCGCCGCCAACCCACCTCCCACCCGGCCCGGCTTCCCTTCCTTGCACCTTGTCATCCCGTTACCAGTAACCCCAACCTGCTCATAACCCCAACTCGTCACCCACTCATAACCCCCACTCGTCATCCCGTAACCTGTAGCCCGTAACCCGTAACCCCAACCCGCTCGGAACCCCACACACAAGCTTGAAATAGCCAGAGAGTGAGAGAGAGAGAGAAGAGAGAGCGACAAGAGAGCGAGCCAGCGAGAGAGAGAGAGAGAGAGAGAGAGAGAGAGAGAGAGAGAGAGAGAGAGAGAGTAAACCTGTAACCCCAACCCATCTGCCCCCCCCCCGCCCGGCCTCCCTCCCTTGCACCTCGTCATCCCATAACCCGCATTCCGAACCCGCTCATAACCTAAACTCGTCATCCTCTAACCTTAAACCCCAACCTGTAATCTGTAGCCCGCAACCCCAACCTGCTCGTAAGACCACACAAGCTTCAAATATATATCCCTACACTTTAAAAAATCGCTAATGTCAGAATTCTGAAATCCGGGCCGTCTTTGGACCTACCGGCCCGACAGCCGGGATTGGGCCCCGATCTTAGATCTTTAAGATCGCGTGGCGATCCAGGCCGTTCGCGGTTGCACGTGCCCGACGGCCCAGATCGCCCCGTGATCTTAAAGTTTTAAGATCGCGGGGGAATCCGGGCCGTCGAGCTGTTTACGGCCCGGATCGCCGCGGTGCCTTGGGGAAATCGGTCCGAAAGGACCTTTGGCGGGCGGGAAAAGTACGGCCCTACGCGACGCGACCTACCTACGCAACCTACCTACGCTACGCTACGCTACCCTACCTACCTATGCGACGCGACCTACCTACGCAACCTACGCAACCTACGGTACGCTACGCGACCTACCTACGCAACCTCCCTCTCCCTCTCTCTCTCTCATTGCTTGGTACACCCACCTATGCAACCTACGCGACTTAGGCGACCTACCTACAGCCTACGCGATCCATGCAACCTGCCTACGGCCTGCCTACCGTAACTCTCTCTCTCTCTCTCTCTCTCTCTCTCTCTCTCTCTCTCTCTCTCTCTCTCTC